ATGTGGTGCTGGGGGATTGAACCGCGGTCCCTGATGCTTTGCTAAGCTTGTTCTAAGTAGGTGCTTTAGACCACTGAGCCATCTCTCCAGCCCCAGAGGCTGATTCTATAATAGCTTAGATCAAAATGTATTCCTAAAGTATCATGTGTTTGGAAGATGAGTGGATCACGGGGATGCCACACTCTTCTCCTGATTCATCCTTCAATGGGTTCAACAGGGGACTGTGCTGTTAGAAGGTGGGGCCTGCTTGGAGGTGGGTCACTGAATGCAGAAGAACGCATTCTTGTCCTTAGCTCCTTCCTTCTGTCAGCCTCCTGATCACCAAAGGTTGAACAGCTTTCCTTCACTATGCCATTTCTGCCTTGCAGCCAAACAACCACAGATTGAAACAAGGAGTTAAACAAATCTATCCTTTAAATTGTGGGTGTCATGTTATCTCAGTGAAGGGAAAGTGACAAAGATGCCTTACAAAATATTCATCAATAAGACTTTCTCTTCTCCAATGAGCTTTTATATAATAGATGTCTGAAACATTTATTTTGCCACATTTAAGTGGCACTTCATCATGATACATGGTTCACTATTATAAAAATAATATGTATGTACTGTGATCATACACCATTTTAAATATAGCACAGGGGGGTGAAGGGGTGGGATCTGGACATGGTGCCATATACAGAGGCTGAGGCAGGAGTATCATAGCAAGTTCAGAGCCAGCCTGGGCTACATATTGAATTCAAGGCCAGTCTGGGTTATATAGTGAAATGCTTTCTCTAAATAAACAAAGATACAGATCAATCAATCAATCAAACAATCACACTTAGATCTTTGCCTCTCTAGATGCTGATACACAGTAAGAGAGAAGGCGAAATGTTGTACAGCTTTTCATCTGAGCTGTAATAACAATTAATGCTGGTCTGCATAATAAAATGCTTGGTAAGTTATTCACAAACAATTCGAAGTACAGTGTCTGGAATGGCACAAGCTAGAGACTTAGAAACTGAAGTTGTCACCACTGGATAAAATTTTAAGTAGGAGGATCTTAGTTCATCTGATTACACTCTCACTTGCTATGTTGTCCTGCCTGCAAGATTTTACTTCTTCATCTACAAAGCAGAAGTAACAACCAACCATCTATGTAACATGGGTAAGTTAAGGTTAAATGAGTTAATAAGTTGCAAAGTATTTAATAAGCTATAAAGCACTGTATAAACATTTAAATTATATTTAGTTATAATTTCTTTTGTATATTTCACTTATGAAATTGATAAAAGGACAATCCTTGCCCTTACTTATGAGTCTACACATTTTTTTGCAGGGATGGGGATGAAATCCAAGGCCCCATACATGACAGGCAAAAGCTCTACCAATGACTACATCCCAGGTCCTTTACCCTTTTT